CAAGTGTAAGTTGAATTCACAAAATTTTTAAGTGGAATCCGCAAATGTCAGCGGATTCCGCAAACTGTAAGTGGATTCAGAATTTTGCCTATTACTGAACTTGCATATAAACAATTGAAAGCTAGAGCTGGATCGAATAAATTCAATATTTGTAGTCATTGGGTTGAAATTGTATGAAAACACAGCACACAGCATATCGCCAATTTAGGCCAGTATTTGGGATTACGTCAGTCCCAAATACTGATTTTGGAAGCTTAACGCCGAATAAAAACTAAAAATTTGTAGTCCATGGGTTGAGAGTGCTTGGAAACACAACGCACAGTATTTGGGATTGCATCAGTATTTGGGATCGAATTTCAGATCGAATTAGGTTAGTATTTGGGATCGGTAGGTCAGTATTTGGAATCGAAGTTGAGATTGAAGTTGACAGGATTTGAGATCGAAGTTGAGTTGACAGGAAGTGAGACCAAATTTTTCAACTGTGAGTTGATCAATGTAGTAATTGAGATTGATTTTTTCTGTTGATCAGTAATTAAAAGATATAATTTTAAATGCTATACTACACATGTACATGTATGTAAACGGAAACCGCAAACAAAATGCGGATTCAACTTTCAATTTGCGGATTCCACTTACACGTTGCGGATTCTGCTTACAGTTGCGGAATCCGCAACAGCTCAATTTAACTATACAAATGTCTTCTTATTTGCTTGTGGATTCCACAAACTGTTCTGGATTCCGCATGTACAGCGTATTAGGTATTTGTTTGTGGAATCCAAAACAGCGAAGAAAATCAAAGAAAAGCAACAAAGTTGCGGATCCCGCGACAAATCTGATTTTGACCTGTTGCGGAATCCGCTTACAATGGACTAAATGCTAAGTTTGGCCTCGTATTGCCTTTTGTGTTTTACCATAGAAGGTCCCCCTTTGGTACTTCTTAGGAAATCCATTTTTGGTCAACCGACCCTAAAAATTTCTAAAGGCGCCTTTGGCGCCATTATATACTAACTTTGAGGGGAGCGCGCGCCAAAAAAAAGCAATTTTAGTGTCATAATTTTCCAAAAAGTGCACAAAACGGCTTTTTCGACCTGTTTTTTCAAAAATTTGCCTGCGGCTCACAAATTTGGGCCAGAACAGCGTCTCTTTACTCTGGTATAGGAGAGCTGGGGAAATCAATTTGCTCGACCTAAAAAAAGGTCGTCAAAAAGTTTTTGAAAATCCGCCCCCACCCCTCGAGAAAATCTTAGATCCGCCCCTGAGTAAACAGCAGCGCTATTAAATAAAAATCAACTTCCAAACACATGCAGAACTTTTCAAGAACAAACCATCAGCAGCTTGTTTTTCGTTTTTCCAGGTACGAAGTTTTAAGGCATCAAATTCTGATTCAATGGAATAGTTGTCAACTCATCAATTTTTAATTTATCAAACGCGGTTTTAAGCCGAGACAACAAACACGCACAAAAAAAGCGAAGTAATTAAGATTTTAATGAAAACACAAGCTATTTCATAAAATAGCAAAATTTCAAACACCAGTATTCAAAGCACGCCTCGAAAAAGAAATTAAAAATTTATAATTACCATTAAGGCAACACCGCTTCCTTCTAATTTCGGATAAAAAGCTAGCAAGAGAGTTAGAATTTTAAATAGTTTTCTTTCCTCGTTCACAAATTTATTCAAAAGGCGCAACGCTTTTTTTCACAATTTTTGGTCTTGCAAATTGTTTTCTTGAGAAATCACCAAAAGTTTTGCACAACGCATGAAAAAAACATTGTTTTTTTTTGCTCTCGTCTTCTTAATTGTGAGAAGAAACTGAACATGTTTTAGGCGTTGAAAAAAGCAGAAGCCGATTTGGTAGCTTTGTTACTAATCTGACAGGTTATCTGTACCAATTAGGCTTCTAATGAACGTCGCCAAAAGAAAACGGTCGACTCCTTTAAAAAATCAAAATATGAAGCTGAAACTATTGATAAATTACTTGGAGTAATGAAAAACATCTCCAATTATCGAATCACTTAATCATTACTAACTTATAATTAGGTAATTACGCAACCCATAATAACAGGCTGACTTTTAGATTGACACAAATGTTAGGCCTAAAATCATTTAAAAATGAAAAATGAAAAATCTATTAAAGTAAAAAATCAGTTTTTTGTACGACATAGTTATAAAGATAACTGTGATCACTTTGTTTTCGATGAATTTTCTAGTTATACGTAATTAGCCGTTCTAATTTTTCTTGCAGACAAAAATATCAACTTTGACGAATAACGTCATATGGCTGCGGACTTGTTGCAAGTACATATCGACAAAATTTGTAGTTATCAGCAACAAATTAACTCTATAAAGTTGATTTTTCTTTTCATGTGGCGAAGCAAGTCGTTTTGCCTACGAGTTTCAGCTATTGTACTTTGCATCAATGGGAATCTTTTAAACTGGTTTGAGACATTTTTTAAAAATGAATGTGCAAAAAAGTTTCCTATCTTACAACTTTTTTATAAACAGGTTTGAGCAAATTTTAAAAAATGAACTAGCAATAAAATTTCTGTCTTACATTCCCCGTCCTGTCATATTCTTAGAGCCTATTTTTGTAAAAATTGTTGGATTTTTATGAGAAAGTTTCTAAGATACCGACTTTTCGCCAATCCGTAGAGTATTTGTTTATACTAACCGTTCAAATTGTTGGAGCTCATTTTTCAACCATGTTGTTAAAACCTTTAGAGCGTGGCTATCTGAGAAAAGTATTTGACAAATTTTTCAAAAAAGAATACTTTTAGCCATTTAGTGAAACAGAAAATTTCGAGTTCAGTGTTGGAAGGTGCTAATATATTATTTTTTGCATATTTAACACTCAGAGCCGGAGGTATAACTTCAGTCTGGATGTCATTCGAAGGGTTCTCTTGGTTGCTGTCTTGGAAAATGTTCAAAAATTTAGTTCTGTAAGTTTTCTGTAAGTTTTCTGGTGGTTATGGGAAGCAGTGCATTTCCATCTAGCTGCAAAATAAAATTTAGCTACAGTAATACAGTGCTGATATAATTTATACGGACAAAACTAATAAGACTTGAAATTTAAAAGGTTTCTTCTCAAATTGAGCTGATCTTGTTCAAAATTTGATGAAGAAAAAAATGGCATCAATTTTCAGCAGATTTTTATCGTGCATTTTTTTTTGCAAAAATCGGGCTCAAAATTTAACCCTAAAAACGACCATGCTTAGTTTTTTTCAGTCCATCAAAAATTACGTCAAAACTGCTAAATCAATTGCTGATACAAATACATCAAAGTGAGCCTCCTATGTGGACTAAAAAATTTTTAGATAGATGTAATCTCCAAGAACCGGCCCAATTGTCTAAAATTTGATTTTAAAAGAAAAAAACTGTAGTTCATTTAGTAAAAGTGACATTTTTTTGGCTATCAAAAAAAAATGAATATTATTATACAAAACTGAAACGATAACCTAACCTAAGTGATTGCTCAATAATGTAAGAGGCTCAGACTGATATTTTTTGTCAGCAGTTGAGCAAACAGTTTTGGCGTGATTTTTGATTGACTGAAAAAGCCGAAAAATGGTCAAATTGGGGTTAACTTGGGGTTGAAAAGTGGTCAAATTGGGATCAAATTGGGGTTGCATAGTAGTTCCTGAACTAGGACGAAATAAGTTTATTCATTGCTGCGATACTAGTTTTTTGTTCCGACCATTGAAATGGGGAGGATTTTTTTTATTCAGGGGCTGTTTTAATTTTGTTTTTGATTTCCACTCAAAATCAGATACCACAAGTATTCATCAACCTGGTTGAGTGATATATCTTAGTGTTAGCTTTTTCGCAAAGAAACACCCATATAATTTTTTTGAACTTTCGTCTAATTTCGAGAGAGGAAAGCCAGCAATCCGGCAGTTTTAGGCTTAACTCAGGCCGTTTACAATAGCTTAATTATGCTTAACTTTTTTAAAAAACAATTAAGACTATCTTTTGGAGATGTATAACGGCATTTTGATTTCTTTTTATTCTTTTTTTGTTTTCCTATTGATTTGTTTTTGAAATTGTTGTCCGGTATGCCTTTGATACTATGACTGCCGAATATGTCTAATCTGTTGTTTTATATCACACCACGCAGATAAAGCTACACTGAATTGAATTTTTTTTTTGGTAGATTTTTAAAGACTATTGTCGGAGCATTCTGTGCTACCTGCACAGGAACCGGTTATTCTTGTTAATATCTTAAGCAATGAAGAGAACAAGGACAGGTGGTTGTTGTGCATGTAGCGCAGAATGCTGAAACCTATTTTTTTTCTGTCAAATTTCAGATAGAACAATTTTCTGAAATAAAAAAATCGATAAAGATTTTGTTGTTTCGTTTTTGTCTCATTTTTTTCAACAAATTGACTTTAAACTAGGTAAAAAAGCAAGAAAAATCCGTAACTATAACTGAAAAACCTTTAAATTTAGAGCTTAAATTCTAGTACAGCAAATTTCATCTAGTTTAGCTGAGATTCGAAAAAATTTCAGAGACAATTTTCGTGATTTTTTCAAAATCCTAATCACCATAGTGCTGTATTATAATACTACACATGACCTCATACGTGCTTTTGAGGAAACCAAAGTTGGCTGAAAAGAATGGAAAAACGGACCCTAATTCATAGTTTTTTTCCACCCATCGAGAGTAGCCTGAAAAAAAACATTTTGCCATAATCAGACATGGAAAAACATTACAGCAATCAACAACTGGAAACTTCAAATTTGTGCTACTTGCATTCTGTTGAATTTAAACATTTTAGCAAGAAATTTATCAAAATCCGAAATTTTTGAACAGAAATTGTTTGATTCAGACTATTTCTAGAAGCGTTATTTTTCAATATCATTTTTCAGACTTTTTTGAAACATTCTAAAAACATTTCTATTCCATATTTATCTTCAGGCTTTTTTCGATGCTTTCTAAAAACCATACTTTTCGATTTTTTTTTCGGGCTTCTCGATTATTTCTAAATGCGTATTTTTTCATGTAGATGGAGAATGATTGAAACGAGTGGTGGAGGGACTGAGAACAAAGCCCAGCCGAGTGACCTAGAACAGGAGTTGATGAGTCATGAGAAGAATAAGAGACTGCCCAACTATCCCCCTGCTCACGGGTCAATTGGGGGTAGTGGGGGGAACAGAGCAGGGAGGACATTGCTGTGGAATGACGACGAGGATTTTCCAGGTATATAAGGCTGACCCAGACATTTTTCGAGGGATAAAGACTATTTTGTGAACTTTTATTTATTTGTGAATCGTGAACATTTTTCAAATTAGGAATTAGCGAAGTTTCCCAAAACACTGTTTTTTAACAATTTTTTTTTTGTTGCAAGCGAATTTTTGATATCAAAGCGGACAAAAAAGCCCGATGATTACTTGTGGTACCTGATTTTGCGAGGGAAACAAAAAGAAAAAGTTAAAACAGACCCAAATATAAGGTTCCTCCCCATTTTCAATGGTCGGAACAACAAGCTAGTCTTGCAGCAAAGAATGCACTTATTTGGCCCTAGTCCATGAACTACTAAAAACGATGTTGAAAAGTTTAAAAGTTATAATACGCCAAAACTACAAACTATTTCCGACTAAACGCCCGCAATTTTTAGGTTTTTTAAGAAGCTTTTGACAATAAAGTTTCGTGTTTTTTGGCAAGCGCTCCCTCCACCGCCATCAAAAAAATTTTCAGTTTCGGGCAACCTCATATGAATGTTTGCAATTTTTTAAATACAGGTTGTCAAAAACAAGTTTTAACTCTTCACAAATTCAATTGATCAAATTGGATTCTAAACACAAAAGTATGTGCCTCAAGGATACAGAGTTCGGAATCTTGAGGCGGTTTCCCTTTTAGACTGAAAAACTGATACTTTTGTGTTTAGAATGCAATTTGATCAATTGAATTTGTGAAGAGTTAAAACTTGTTTTTGATTTTGAAAATTTGACAACCTGTATTTAGAAAATTTTCTGAAAATGCTGTAAGCTTAGTTCTTGATTATGAAAAACGTTGAGCAATTTTGATCGAGTAGTTTTGTGGGTTGCTTAGAGAGCAGATATTGATCATTTGTTGTTTTTAAGACATGAAAAGCTCCGAATTCTACGTGCCAAGAAATAGACGCCCGCCATTTGCTCTGGATCGAAAACTGACCAATCAGAATTCAGTACCTGAGACTGAGAAGAAAGCGACCAATCAGATTGAAGCACTCAAATTACAGGCCAATGTCGAGGAGAGAAAACAGCAGAAAATAAGAGAAGAAAATTATCGAAAATGGGTAAAAGATCGTCAGGAATTAAGACAGGGCTTAGACCGCATGGACGATTTGGAACGCTGGTTGTCATCAAAACCAGACGTTTCGCCTTTAGAAGCTGTTGTCTTGAAAAGGTATGTGTGGGTCGTATTTTAAAAAGCTTCCTAGCCCAGTACACCTCATCCTAGCCATTTTAATTACCTGGAAACAGACAGGGGAAGACCTGGAAACAGCTTATTGATGCGTTTTAGGACGTTCTCCAAAAAAATAACGTTTTAACGAAACTAGAAGCTAGAAGTTAAGTTCTGTTTATGCGTAGGTTTCTGGAGTGGAAATTCGAACAAGAAGAACTGAAACGGAAGAAACCTCCTAAGATTCGGACTCCAAGTAGTGTGACATCTGTAGCTCCTGAGATTGAGAGACCTCTGCCTGTCATGATTGCAGTTCTCGAGGCATACTTACAGGAGCATAAACTGAGACTGGTTGACTATTTCTCCATGACAGACAAGGAGAAAAAGTGGACTCTTGGAAGGTAAATTAATGACAAATGATATTTTAAATTTTAATAAAAAAATTGTTATCGGTCTCGCAAATTTGTAGACTAATTTAAAATATTGGTAACAACTATATCCCAGAGTGAAGCCTGAGGGAACGTCTTAAGACCAAATGGTCTGTTTTCCAATTTTGATATTTTTCAAAACCACTTTTTCAATTTTATTTATTTTAAGACCATTTATCCGTGAAGGAAAGGACCAAAATACAAGCTGTACAGCTCATCACGGCGAACCGCTGATGTGCCCTTGCTTAAGAACTACATGCAATTTTATTTATTTTTTTTTGGGCACGGATCATTCTTGAAAAAAAATTATCTCCAAAAACATACCCGCTCACTGTTGCAGTTCAAATTGAAGCAAAAAAGCTTCCTGTGATTATTTTGTCAAGTTTTATTTTCTTTGATTGCTTTTTGTTAATTTTTAATCGTCCCGGTTTCGGAGAAAAAAAAATACAGCAGAAAATAAGAAATACATATGTTATTTTCAGAGATGAGCTGCGTGCGATAATAGCGTGGACTAAACTGCCGGTGACAGATGCGGAGTTGGATGACTTCATCCAGTATCTGGACCACAGTGGGGGAGGCTATCTGGAGTACAAGGACATCGCCAGGACCAGGACCAGATTTCTCAGCGAAGAGAGAAAGGTAAGTGGCGGTGGTGGCGGGGGAGGGGGGATTTTCGAGAAGTTTGGTAAAACATACGATAATTTGTAAGGGTTTAACTGTTAAATTTTTGCAAACTTACAGAATAAACTACTGAAAAATAAACCAATCAACCAAATCTTCTGTGGTTACCGTGTTGACATTTGTAACCAGTTGCTCGACCCAAATTCCGTGATCGAAAAAGCTCTGGCGGTCAAACACAACTCCGAAACATAGTTGAAAAGAAAGTCTCGAAATATAACCGAAAACTTATTCAAAATTCAGTCGCACACAAAATACAGGGTGTTTCAAATAAACTGTAATTTTATAAAACGCTATAACTTTTTTTTGAGAAGAGATAAATACACAATTTTTTCTGCACAAGATAGATAAGTGGCGGAGATTTGAATATCTGATAAAAATGTTTTATAAAAGATGCTGAAAGTGTCCGCCGTTTTGAGCAACACAGCTTTGTAATCTTTTCGTCAAATTTCTCAATGACTCTTCGATATTATCGGGCGTTATTGTATTTCGGGCATCATCTACAGTTTGCATGAGTTCGTCAATACTTCGTGGATTCGCACCATGAACAATTTTCCCCAGATGAATCCACAGCCAAAAATCCAGGGGATTCAGGTCCAGACTCTGAGGTGGCCAGGGTATAGGGGTTCGTCTACTTATAATTCTGTCGTTGAACTTTGTCCCAAGCCAACTGAGTACGCGTCCCGTGCAGTGACATGTGGCTCCGTCTTGCATAAACCATATGCGCCTCAAGTTTCGTCGTTCTCGAAGGACTGGCCAGAGGTCGTGTTCCAGCATGTTCAGATACGAAAACTGGTTCAGTGTTATTGGTCGTTGCTGTTCGTCTACGAACCAAAACGGGCCAAGAACAGCTCCTTGAAGGAAACCCATCCAGCACATCACTTTCTTTTTGCCCTGGTACTTGCACTTCGCGTATTCTCTGGGGTTAAATAAACTCCATCTCCTATCGTTTTGAGAATTTGGAGAGCTGTCGAGCACCCACCACTTTTCGTCTGAGAAAATCACCCGTGATGTGAAATCTGCCGCTGTTTCAATCTTGCTCAAGCACCAGACACCAAAAGTAAGTCTCAAGCCGAAGTTCGTCTCTTTAATTTGGTGTGTTTTGAGCACTTTGTAGGGCTTCATTTTGGCAGCTCTCGCGACTCTCCAAGTTGTGGTGCGGCTCAACCCCAAATCAGCTGCTGCTTTAGTTATTGAATCTTTAGGATGAAAATCAAAGTGTCTTATAATACTGGCATTCGCTTCATCGGTTCCTGGTAACCCCGTTCCTTTTCGATGCTGCCCTTGAAATTTCGATAACCCGCCTCTTTCTTGGAACCGTTTCCACACTCTGATAAACTGCGTAAGTTGAAGTGTTGATGCAACGCGTGGGGCAATTTAATATTCATTGATATATCTTCTCCGAACTTCATTTGGGGATTCATAAATTGCAAACAAACAAATGATCCGTTTTTCTTCGTTTACTGTGAAAACCATTTCGTTGTTTTCATTTACGTATGAACAAATAGTTTAAAAAATTTTTTGTTGCGTGGAAGCGTGAAATAGTTGGAAAATCGCGGGTATTCACTATCGAGTTCAATTCATCAACACAGTTTTTGAGTTTTATCAAATCTCCGCCTGTTCTACATAATATCACCGAATTTGAAGTCGAACTGATCAACAGTTATGAAATGAGAAGCTTTTATAACATTACAGTTTATTTGAAACACCCTGTAGAAACATAAACAGAATCTTCATCGAAACCAATTCGATAGCAATATCGGAACCTGGTCGAGCCTAAGGTCGAAGACAAAATCGAAACATAGTCGAAAACTATCATTATCCAAACATGTTCGAACCAGAGATGAAACCGGGCCTGAATTTGAGGCCCGGTCCCGGCCCGGCTGGATAACAAAAACTTCAAGCCCGATTTTCCGAACAAATATTAAATTGAAATTCAAATGTAAATTTTAAAAAAAAATCAAAATGTAATGAAACAAATGGCAGCAGCCGATCCTAGCCGTTCGATTTGGCTGACTTTGCCGCAGAAAAGAGGGCACGCTTGGCTCTCCAGATTTACCCAGCTCTTCTGGTCAAATACGGGGAGCAGTGGTGAAGTGGTTACGTCTCCGCCTCTCAATCGAAAGGTCGGATGTTCGAGGCGTGCTCGTTGCTTGAGGGTGAGGCAACATTACCCAGCCCAGAAAAATAACCAAAAAAATTGCATGTAGTTCTGAAGCAGGGGCACAACAGCGGTTCGCCGTGATGAGCTGTACAGCTCGTGTGTTGGTCCTATCCCTCGTGGATTAAAAAAATGATCTTCTGAATTCACGCTCGCTCTGGGCGTTCGTATCTTAAACAGCTAGGAGCTGCCGGGCGACACGGGCCAGGTGGGGGTACTAAGGCCCGGGCCCGGTTCCAACTCTGGCTCGAACAAAAATTTGAAAACAATGACGATACGGCTTTGGAAATTAATTTCAATTCTGTGTTATTGCATGATTGGTTGATTGTAGTTTTCGAAAAATTTGACTACAAAAAAGTCGAGCTAAAACAGAATAAGTCGAGCTAAAAAAAACAAGTATTCAATTCAGATTTTTAGCGGATTTTTTTGCTCGCAAAAGTGTAAAGCAGATGCTACAACAAAAATATTCCAGTAATTTGAAAATTTGAAGCTTGGTTCGGATTTCTCATGCAAACCGTATACAAAACGGCTATTGGGAAGAACTGCTTAGTTAGGCTCAAAGAAAATAATAGACTTTTTTAGGCCATGCAATCAAATTCGCTGAGAAAATCATATCTTTCAAAGTTCCGTAAGGTTAAAAAAATCTAAACGAACAATCAACAGCAAAACTAGTTTACCACTCACTTTCGAACTAGAATCATTTTTGAAGCTTTGAAGTTTTTCTTACAGCAGCTATCGGGAATGATCCCACGTTTTTTTGAGAACTTTATCTATGATAGAGCCAACTTATAATCGTAGCGCAGATGTACTTTGAAACTAATTTTTTTAAAAACTTTTTTCTCGGCATTTTTTTCGCCTCGGTTTATAATTGGCGATTCCCTAGTGCAACATGTGGGCCATTATCTCTAGTCACGCCGGTCGTGACAGTTTCTCTTGGTCACAATAATAATGACGGTGTTTTCTGTCACGCCGTTCTGAAGTTTCCAGAATTTGGTCTCCCCTGTCTGACTTGCAAACAACAAATCACATTGGTCTGGAATGCCAAATTTGAATCAATGTGATTGAATGCTTGCTGTTTATTTCATTGTATTGCAGTGCAATTGGCTTTTGGGCGTGTTTGTTGGACAGCCATTTTATGGTGGACTCTGCCAAACCCATTTTTGCTCCGGTAGATTTGGTGGAAGCATAACCAGCTTAGTTCGGAGATCATTTGCTTCGATTGAGTCTTGAGTCGGCATATGGCGATCAAGTCGAACCCATTTTATTCAGTCGAGCTAGTCAAAAAAGTCCTTTCCGGTTCGTTTGGCCGAAACGTAGCTTTTTTGATCGCGTCGGGCGAATTATAACTCGAACACCTCAACCAAGGTTGCTGAAATCAAATGAAGGAAACTCGAGATATGTGAGGTTTACCAAATATCTATTATAAAGTGCAGGTCTAATTTGAAACCTTTTCGTTCAACCCTTTAACAACACATTTTCAATAACTATCGTAAGAAAATTTTAAATCAGTTAAAATTTCTTTAGCTACAACTCAGTTTTTTTAAAAATAAAATGTACTAGGTGAAACCTGGTTAGAACTTGTAAAGGTTAGTCAACATGCGACCCCAAACCCGAACTCGCTTCCTTTTCTTCCATTTGGTCTGGCAAAAAATTGAATTTACAAATTAGTAACCAACCGGAAAATTTGGTAAGTAGAAAGTACGGGGGGGGGGGGAGAGTGGGTGTCAGCAAGCAACCCCCCCCCCCCCCAACCTCCACCGGCTACCCTTTGTGGAACGCAAGAAATTCTCTTTGTAGTCGGCATGTTTTTCGAGCTGCTTTGAAGTCAAACATACGTACAATTCGTCTTATGTACTTGTGATGACCTTGACACTGGTGTTGTCTCCTAGGCCATTCTGGAAGAGTATGGAGGTGAAATTGGCACCGTGCTGGCTGAACAGAAGAGAGCAAAATCCAGAGCAGAAAAGGAGGCAGAGAGAGCGAGGAAGGCGGAAGAGCTGAGAAACCGGAGGTAATTTTCACCGAAAAAAAATCTTTAAAATATTTCAAACACTGTTTTTTGTTAATCATGCTTTTTTAAGTCTTTACTACTAAACTCCCAAAAAAAAAACAAAAAAAAGATATTTTACGCTTCAATTAAATTACCTAATAGTTTCCGCGCCACCCACATACCTTACAATACTTTTAATACGGAAGCTGTCATTCAGAAAGGGAAACGTAGTCAAAGAAAGTTACGCTTTGTCTAAAACTGTCACAATAAAAATAAACAAAAGTTTTTTTCAATACTTTTTAATCTCATTCTAACCCCACGCACTGACGTTGTATTTACGAGCTACTAATTAATTAACAAAAAAAATCTGCGTCACTAATTTTTCTCAAATCATAAGTTCTTTTTACAGGGTGTTCGAGATAAAGTCACACATTTTAAAGTTACTCTCTCTAAGTCACTTGAGATGCGTTACTGGAAGCTTCATCCTAGGTTAAAAAAATCGCAAATTCCAATAGTCACTCTGTGTTCCAAAAAGGTAAAGAAAAGATTTGAAAATGATATATCACTCGACCCATTCAATGATAACTAGTGGTATCTAAAATAACTCAGTCTGGAGAGTGGGGAAATAATAGAAACGGACTATGCTTAGACAGTCTGGATAGATCCTCTGCTAATCGCAGAAACTACAATTATTTATTTATTATAATTAGTGGTACCTAATTTCGCATGGAAAACAAAAAAAATGAAGAAAAAAATCTACGACACAACTGAATGCAAAAGCTCTAATTCGTTTTCAATGTAGAGAACAATTGGAATAAGGCAACCCAAGACCACCTACGAGCTTTTTCGAGTTTTCCTGATTTTGAAAAGAAATTCCTTCAGTTTCCACATTCTCGAGACTGCTCGGAACATTTATGTAGATTAGCTTTTTTATGGCGAATTTTAGTGCACTTTTAAAAAAATATTATTAACATCAATTGCCCAATCTTTGCTCTTAAATCAGCCAAGAAGGAGAAAAAACGCGTTTTGCTACAATAAGGAAAGTTTTTGTTGTAACTTGCTTGAAGTCAAATTATATTAGGTTAAGTTTGAAGTGATATAGCAGTGATATTTTAAAAAGCAGACCAATTGAACGGTTTCTTGGTATTCCACCCATTGCTTTATTTTGAAAATTCAAACCTCTTGTGTTAACGGCAGATATTTTTTATCTGTCCTGTGAATTGTCGCGAAAAATCGTTCGTCTTATGATTTGTAATCAAAGTACGTCAGGAAATTTATCTAAAAATGTAGCATGACCATGTTATTTTTTGAACAGCATTCAACCATCTGAACCGTAAGTCAGAGTGAAATCATACAAACAATATTCAACCGTATAAATATTCTGAATTCACTGTTTCGTATCATCAATTATCCATGTGCGCTCAATCTCCGTTATTTGGTAAAACTATGAAGTCGAATGCTTTGAATTATAAAGAGTATTTATCGGCAAAGACTCTCAGAAAAATCAATATTTTATCATAATTTTGGTCAAGCATAACATCATATAACTTCAATTCTGAACTGTCCGTTTTTGGTACAAAACGGCGCAAGCTAGCCACAAGAACCGGTCGGTAATGTCCTTGAGACAAATTGCTCTTTGGCGGTCAACCTTAATCAAGGCTGAACCGAATTAGAACCAAAAAACAGTAAAAAACGGTCAAATGGGGCTATAGCCCCTCGGGTCTACATGTTTTAAGGTCTGCATATGGGGGGACTCAAACCCGGTTGACCGGCGTGAGAGACTTGTCTCTAGGCCGCTCGGCCAACTGTGCTTATTGTTGTTACATTTTAGTTCAGTTTTATATGCATCTATACTCTACATTCTATACTCTACATTTGCATTGCAACATCCTCCCCCCCTGAAGAAGGAAGAACCGGAGCGAGCTTAACGGTCGGCCGCGTGACTTCACGGGTTGCGGTCCTGACAAGGGCGGATCGGGCGCAACCGTCCTGTCCGTAGTTTAGCTTGACGATTCGGGCGAGAGGGTAGTACCCACGCGGACTATCGGGCTCAATCACCCACACGAGATCGCCTGTTTTAAGAGTAAAGTCAGAATGAGTGTGCCACTTGACACGCTTATTCAGCGAGGGAACATATTCTCGAAGCCAACGAGACCAAATCGCGTTAGCATATGACTGCGCTCGCACGTACCTTTTCTTGTGATCGAAGTGCTCCCCGGGTAAAAGCGAAGGAAAGCTTGTGGCATGTTGTCCAAGCAAAAAATGGTTTGGGGTTAACGCTTCTAACTCACGTGAATCGGTACTAACGGGAGTGATTGGCCTCGAATTCAAAGCCTGTTCAACTAAGCAGAGTGTTGTTCCTAACACCTCTTCAGTGACTCGCCTACTGCCTAGGATATCGTACAGCACGCGCTTCACGCTTCGGACGAGGCGTTCCCAGGAGCCGCCATGATGGGGTGCGCCTGGCGGGTTAAACTTCCAAGTAACACCTTTGTGTGCAAAAATGGTCGGAGCCATGCCATTCCAGCTCTTGATGCAGGCAAGTAATTCCTTTTCCGCACCAACGAAGTTCGTGCCATTATCCGACCAGATTGTGCTTGGCGTACCACGGCGCGCAACGAACCGTTCAATGCCCATGACACACGAACTGGTGTCCAGAGACGGTACAATCTCAAGGTGTACAGCCCTGGTAGTGAGGCAAGTAAAAAGAAATCCCCATCTTTTTTCCGTGCTTCTGCGAACCGGAACGTAAAGCGGTCCAAAGTAATCCACACCCGTATGATTGAAGGGTGGTTGCTTGTATCCGAGACGTTCGACCGGTAAATCGGACATAATTGGCTGGATGGTGCTTGCTTTGCGTTTACGGCATGTCACACATTGATTTTCGACAGACCGAAGTAGTCGACGCAACCCAAGTATTGCAAATTTCATATTTAAAACGGAGCGCATGTAATCTAATCCTTGATGAAAATGCTTATGGTGGAGGCTGCGGGCCAACAAACGAACTAAGGTATGTCGGGCGTCGAGTATTATTGGGTGCTTAGTATCAAACTCGGTATCCACTAAGCGCACAATCCGTCCGGTGGAACGAATGATTCCAGCGGGACCGATAAATGGCGAGTATGTGGCAATTTTACTACTATTCTTAATAGGTTTGCCAGCGGTGAGTGTTTTTAACTCAACGGGAAAGGATTCCATCTGAGCAAGATGAATCAGTTTGCTTTCTGCAATATCAAGTTCAGTGGGGTCGGTGATTCGTAAGTCTTTACCACGAAAATGCTTATGTGAAGGCAACACCCTCAACATAAAAGCGACTACTCGTTTATATCTTGTAAAGGAACTGAACCTTTCCCAATTGAACCCGTGTTCGGGATGTTTGATTGATGTGACATCGGTGACGAAGGAAGATGATGTCTCCAAGCAATTATCAACATCACAAGAAGGACCCTTCAAACGAATTTTATTGATTACACGTTCGTCGGGTAAAAACGGCCAATCAGTAGTCCTGAGAATGCTCGGACCAATAACCCAGCTGCTATCCTTGAGGGCTTCCGAAGAAATCCCCCGCGTACCGGTATCAGCTGGATTATCGCCGCTCAGAACATGGTGCCACTCATCAATAGTGGTCGACTCGAGGATTTCGCCGACACGATTAGCGACGAATACAGGTAATTTTTCAGTGGAGTTTAGCCACTGCAAAACTGTTGTACTATCTGTCCACATAAAGACATGATTAATAGAGACGGTAAGGGCGGTCAGTATATCATCTTTTAGTCGTGTGGCGAGCAGAGCAGCTTGAAGCTCTAGCTTCGGTATAGATAGCGCTTTCATGGGCGCAACGCGAGCTTTACCAAAGATGAAGGATATTTGAGTTTTATGCGAGCTCGCGAGTCGCGCACGCAAAAATCCAACAGCACAGAAAACATCCTGCGAGCTATCACCGAACATGTGGAGCTCAATTTGATCAACAGGCTCTGTGAAGTAACAACGGGGAATAGTCAATTGCCCTAAGAGAGGGAGACCGGAGTGCCACTCGAGAAACTTATCTCTTATGTCTTCTGGCAATTCGTCGTCCCAACTTTGACCACTGATTTTCCAAATATCTTTCAGTAAAAGACGGGCCCTAACTGTGTATGGAGCTACTAACCCAACAGGGTCAAACACAGAAGAGACGAAACTCAAGACGGTTCGTTGAGTTATTGCTTTATCGAGAGGACGATCCACGCCTCTGCTAACAACCAAAGTGTCTTTCACATGGTCCCACTTAAGACCTAAGACGTGTGAAGATTGTTCGGCACCGTTACAAATTTCCTTAATGGGTGAAGATGAGGATTCGGATTCCTCGGGGTTCATTGCTGAAGTGATTTCATCAGCATTACTGACAAATTTAGTCAAATTAAATCCTCCCAATTTTAGTAAGGAAACCAAATCGCGACTAGTTTTAATTGCTTGGGTAACGTTCTCGAATGAATCCAAGTAATCGTCCATGTAAAATTTTTCATTTACGACTGAGGCGGCCTCAGGGTATGTGGACATATTATCAGTTGCTGTTTTTTGCAACGCGAAATTGGCGCACGTAGGCGAATCCCGTGCGCCGAATATATGGCGAGTGTACTGATGAACTACCACATCGGAAGTGGTATCCTCCCGCCACAAAAAACGGAGCGAAATTTGATCGCGGGCAAGGACTCCTACCTGGAGGAACATACCCTCTATATCCGCGGAAACGGCGTACTTATGTTGACGGAATCGCAAAAGCACAAAAATCAAATTTTGGAGTAGGTCAGGACCCACCAATAAGGACTTATTTAAGGATGTGCCGTGAAACTTAGAAGCCCCATTAAGGACTCGGCGCACCTTACCCGGCTTATTCGGATTTACGACGGGCTGGTGCGGAAGATACCACTCGCGATCGGAACGCTTACGTGGATCATGCGGTTCGACGGTAACGACATAGCCTTTCCTAATGTCCTCTCTAATTGTTTCTGCGTATCTTTCGCGCAGCTCAGGGTCTTTACTTAACCTTTTCTCCAATGATTTAAATTGGGCAAGTGACTAGTAATAATTATTTGGTAGACTGACATTACTATCAATCCAAAGCATAGGCACAACGTATCTTTCGCCATTGTGAACGGTTTCAGAATTTAGGATGGATAAAGCATGTTTATCCGCGGCGGAACGGGCATCGACCTGTTTGAAAGCACCATACGATTCCAACTCGTACCAGGATTTTATCTGGTCGGTCAGAGAAGAATCTTCAACAACACACTTGAAACACGAAGAAGTAGAATTACCGGACGGCGGCAACGGACCACTTAAGACCCAACCTATCGGTAGGCGAACGGAACACGGTGAGTTTTTATCATCTCCCAAGATGAACTCAATGGGTCTAACGGCGTGGTAGTAGTCTTGTCCGATAATAACTTCAACGTCCTCATAAGTATATTGAATGGGCTTAATAGGTGCTAATTGTGGATATTTATTCTGCAAATCAGCAATATTGATTAATTCGGAACCAATCCGAATATTGTCTTTAACATATGCACAGAGAGAAAATACGAAATCACTATTATTCGGCTCGGAGGAAACAGTAAACTTGACCCTCTGAGTCTCAACAACGGTGGTCGAATTGAAACCACTAATTGACAAGTTAACGGGCTCCCCTACTAAGCCGAGACGGTTTACGAGTGACGAAGACACCCAGGAGTGAGTCGATGCACTATCACAAAGAACCAACGTCAGGAGACTGGTTACATCCGAGGATACACCAAGTGTTGCAATTGGCAACAACCCTTTAGAAGATTCAATGTCAAGTACATCACTAACAGCGGCATGGGTGGAAGTGTTTGTATTCTCCTTGGATTTGTTTATTCCAGCCTTATTCGAGACATTTGAATTTTCCTTCCGAGGAAATATTCTTTCGGCTCCATGGAGCAAGACATTATGTGTGCTATCACACTCTGGCTTCGGGCACTTTTTTGCTCTAGAACATTGCCGGAAACTATGATTGCCATTGAGGCAAGCGAAGCAAAGTTTCTGTTCAGCTACGTATTTTGCTCGCTGAGTAGCATTCTTTTCCTTAAAAACAGCACAATTCCACAATGCATGACTACCCTTACACAAAACGCACGGCGGAAACTTAGACTTATCCTGAGACTTATCCTGAGCCTTACTAGTTACCTGGCTATTGGCTGCAAAAACTTTGGTTGTTTTTGGTTTAACCGGTTCTTCGTTTTTTGCCTTAGAGCTGAGTAAACGTAATCTTTCATGCCCTTCGGCCTTTTCTTTCAACCAGTTGTTAAAGTCTAAGAGTGTTGGTCGCTGCCAATTATG